TGAGATGCAGGCGGAAACGATCGAGCAATTAGTGAACCTTCCATGGAAAGCAGTGGTGTTAAGGTACTATGAAGAGGAGATGAGAACTACGCCGAGAATACACGCTCTCATGGCAGTACCTTACGTGAGAACCGAATTACAACTGAGGTTCGCCTGGTGCATGATGGGATTAACTCTCGGGGAATATGACTCAGAAGAAAGGAAAAGGTCAAAAGGAGAAAAAGTATTCCTGATGACGAACCTGAGGGATCTGATAATCCAGGAAGGAATGGCAGTAGCGTGTGCGAAGCGGAGAGATGCTCTCTGTTTCATTCGATTCCTGATAGAGCAGATTTCAGTACCAGGATTGAACACCTGTGTCAAGATGCTGAGGGAGGGCGATGATTGAGCAAAATCCTTACTCTTGCTAGCACTGCTGGAGATGCATCAAAGCAAGCCGATGAGAGTGAATATGAAAGAACCTGAGGAGTTAGACCCTATGAGAAAGATAGACGAAATCAGGAGAATTTCAAACAAGGAGCTGAGACTCACTCGAGAATCTATGGGGGCACTACCGAAATCCAGTGAGTACTGTGGACCGATCAAGAAGAAGTCGTACAGCTACGTGTCCGGAATCATAGGGATAGCGTACAACCCTTTCCTGAGTGAAGACATACGTGATTGCTTCTTTGATTACGAGCAGGCAGTGTTGCTGAGATTCTGGACGTCGAGAATTGTAACGATCAAGAGCGCTAATAATCCGCAGACCAAATTGGGACTGGTCTTGGAGGAAGAGGTGACTGCACCTTCCGTACCAAAATCCGACAAAAGAGTGGAGTTTGGGTTGGGATTCTCAGATGAACCACTGAGAACGAGCTTGATGGTAGTGTGGGAACTGATGAGACCATCATGGTGTCCTAGTCCCAATGCTGACTCGATATTACGGGCGACACAAGATGTGCAGAGGGAGCTGAATGCAGACTGTAACATGCGTGACCTTAACATCATATATAATGTGATGATAACAGCCTCTAGGAGCAACGGGGAAGACAAAGTGGAGTTGCCTGGCTGGGGACCAGAAGACTGGGTCAAACCTGGTAGCTGGCTGGCGGAAGTCTGTGGACTGGAAGGTCACGTTTGTGGAGGTCTGGATTGTGTGAAAACCCTAGAGAGACAACACAAGCAATTGACGATATTGTTTGGGAGTGTCGTGATGAAAGCAAGGACGGAAAGGGAACTGATTGCAGATTGCCATGGAGGGACCGAGGTGAATCTAGTGACTGCACTAGGATTCTACAGCATGTTTGGTTCTTTAGAGTCACTATTGAATCTAGAACAGAGACATGAGATGGTCACAGCCATCAGTGTGGAAGTGTTCCCAGGAGTTTTGCAAACTGAGCAGAAGCACATAGGAAAATGGAGGGAAGCGATCGAGGCGAAAATGAACATCAGACATAGGGAGACTTATTGTAGACCATCAGGAGCACGATATTTGGTGGGATCGACATTGGCTCCAATGTGCAAGAGCAGGTCCCAGTGCATTTCGTAGCTGTGGATGTAAAGAGTACGAGAACGATCGTGGATCAATTCTTCTCAGTGCCAAAGTGTGTGAGACTAACGAGAAAGTCCAAAAAATCTTACGAGTTGCTATGTAAGATGTTCTCAGCAGTTCCAGAGAGAACAAAGGAGTTGGAATTGATATTGGGAAGGAAGTTCCTGGGATACATGAGTGGGAACTTTAGTGACTTTGAAAGACAGAAACAGAGAGGATCAACCGTTACAGATTACAATACAGTAGACGAGAATGCTGAAGTTCACCGAGTGATAATGCAAGTGGAACCATTACTGGAAGCTTCGGGAAAACTTAATTGGAGGAGCATCATGTTGACACATGACGAGTTTCCCTGCCACTGCTTGCTGCTGACTTGGTGGTATTCCGAGCGTAGTAATCTGGTGTTGATTTGGGACTCTGGAAAATTGCTCTTCATGGGTTCACCAGACTCATCACGGCCCATAACAATAGTGATAGTGGGCGTTATGATGGCGATACGATGGCTGGAGGCTCATGTGAGAAAAAACAATAGACAGGAGGCACCAACGAGAGAACAGTTGCAGAAATTGGATTGTCTAAAAGATTTGGATCTTTTTGAGACAACGTGCAAGATTCTAAAAGTTCCGAAGGAAGTGAAAAAGATATGGGCAAGAAGACGATTGATGCCATGGTTCAGAGCTAACATGACTGCATGGTTGTACGAATATGCCAAAAAGCATATGTCGAAGCACGGCAGGGTGTACAGTGGATATCAGCTGGTATTGGAGCAGAAGCTTTCAAGCGAGCTTTCGTGACTCATCGGAATGCAATGACCACCGCTGTGAAAAGAATTTCCAGGACAAGTGAACGTAGTGAAAAGGAGAAGGAAGAGATGTTGAAGGAAGATTTGGAGAGAAACGTGACGTTGTGTCTCCACAACAGCTTCCAGCTTCTGCAGGAACAGAGAGTCTAATGTGGATCCTCTACCTTGTTGCAAACAGAGGGTAGAAGAGCAGAAGTGTTGGAGGACTGCTTCCAACAGCGTCAGAATAGCTAACGATGTGTTGCAAGACACAGAAACTGAAAGTGCAGAGTCAGTGTCACAGGAGGAAGAGATGGAACATTGACAAATGGTCGAGAGAACAAGAGATAAAAAGAAAGAAATTTAGAAGAATTTAGAAGTTTTAGAACTTCTAAACGACGAAAAGAAGAGAAACAAAGGAGTGACGAAGAGGAAGAAGTTAAAACTCAAAATTGTTTTATGTGTGTGAAAAAACTCAAGTGAGAAACCAAGCAACCAAGTTGTAATTGAAAACTGAAACATTTAGTTGAGTTTTGAACATTAAAGAATTTGTTGCATTTATAAATTTGCATTTTGACTTTAGTTAGTGGCTTTAGAGACACTTACTATTTATTTAGAAAGGCTTGAGTAAAGAGTATATTTAAATATTCCAGCCTGCATGACTATTTTTAATCATCTAGGAGAACTGATTACTTTGTGGTGACATGAAGGGCTTGGGTAATCTCTTGAAGAGGGAGATTGTTTCATTGTTCTTTCTAACCACAGAGTTACTTAGTTTTAATATTCAGGACAATAACAAGCAAGATATCCGACGGGAAGAAGCATAGTAGGATAATTTTAGCCTGTTGGTTAGCAGGACTGTCCTGCGAACCAACATCTTTTAAAAATCTAGGAGAAAAAGTTTTAAATCAGGACATTGACATTGGAAGTCACAAAAGATGTTTTTATCTTGGGTCATATACTCAAAGTGCAGATTAGTGAAAAAATTTAGAAGGCTATAGCGATGTGGTATGATGCCATTTATATTCTGCAGTGAGTCGATATGACGTAGATAAAAGTTATTTCGTGCATTTTGTAAATTCTGTTCGATGACACTGTACCAATTTTACGAACATTGCGAGATTCAATGGGGACATTGACCGGACTGTCCGGGGAGTATGTGACATTCGACCAGAATGGACAAAAATGAAGATGCAGCAATTTCGAATTTTTAGCAGCGAACCTTCCGAATTGGCGGTTTTGAAGGAATAAGAGCGTTATTCGGACGATTGAACAAAACGTGAAGGCTGAAGGATTCGGAAGTTCATAAATTTTAAAAATTCTAATTGATGACGTCATAATTCTAAGAAACGTCAAAAACGGCCATTTTGGCAGAAAAACCGAAATAAGACACAACAACAACAGTAGTTGCGACGATAACAACGGAAAAACTCAGAATCGGAATTAGAGACTAGCAGAAATAGCAGAGACCGTTCCGAGTTGCAACTATTGTGTCGCTACAATAGTTGCAAGGCCGTTGCGAACAACGGTGAAGGGTAGAAGACAGCCTTCCGGAAGGAAAATAGAGGTCTTATTTCCCCGGATTCAAGAATCCGGAGGGGTCTCGGGACTGAAACTCTAAGTCTTTTATATAAACTTTTAGCTTCCCTATTAGGTCCTGAATTGAATTTAGTTAACATCTGAATTCATTTTGCTAGGATAAGAAGCTAGGAGTTGGGGGAAAGGGTTGATCCATCTTCGATGGAGATAATGATTTTTTATCTACTGAACAAAAACAACAGTAATATAATAAGTAGTAGTAGCCCTGATTTTAGAAGTGACCTCGTGGTCTGGGATACTGAGACCCAGCCATGAGCTCACTATTCTGCATGTAATTAAGTTAGTTTGAGCGCTCTGGTCAAAGCCGGAGAACAGTGACGTTTTTGTCGACCCGATGTTGAAAAGGCCACCAAAAGAACTGGCTTGGTAGAGACGGTGAAAAGCATGTAAAGCTCTGTTTAGACGTTAGCCAGTCGTCTTAGGACCTAGTTTTATTTTCCGTCGATATGTATCTTCCGGGCGAATGTTACACAATTTAAGTTTATTTGAAATTCGAACCATTAATTTGAATATTTTGTAAATAAGTATGTAACCCAGAAAAGTTGTGGGACTTACTTTTGCTTAATAATATTGATTATCACTTAAGTCAAGTCAAGTCAAGTTTTTTAAGACCATTAGGCAGTGCCTCTTGTGGTCATTTCAAATGTTTTTTCCTATCTCCGTTCGAATTCGTACAGGTCCATTCCAATCGCTTTCCAATGTTTGTCCAGTTTCCACTTGAATTCGTCGATGGTCTTGCTTTGCACTGTTTCCTGCATTTAATTTACCAATTGAAGTGTTCATTTTTTTATTTCGTTATTTCCGTGTCATTTCTGTTTGCTATCTTGCAATGCTGAGCTTTATAGTTGATTTCATGTCTTCTTTTGTTTTAGGTGTCTTCTTTTGTTAGTCTTCCCATGTTTGTCCAGTTTCCACTTCAATTCGTCGATGGTCTAGCTTTGCATTGTTTCCTGCGTTTAATTTAGCAATTATATGTTCATTTTTTTATTTCGTTATTTCCGTGCAATTTTCTGTTTGCTATCTTGCAATGCTGCGCTTCATAGTTGATTTCGTGTCTTCTTTTGTTTTAGGTGTCTTCTTTTGTTAGTCTTCAAGTGTTTTTTAGAAAAAGCAATGGATTTCACGAAACTTTTAGATGATACCAGAGTACTTCTCAATGATTGCGTTGCTGACGAGCGTGAAAATATTACTTTTGCGGGTCGACGTAGTCTTTTGAGTAACACAACAGTTGGTTTTGATCATACGTTTTTATCAGCCAAGAGGCAGACAATGAACGAAACCACATTTGTTGCTAATGAGCACTCAGGAAATACTATGGCCCTAAGAAGTTGCCAAAATTTTGCCGAAATTATGAAAGATAATGAGATGCTGTCTACAATGGACAAAATTGAGAAATTTATTGACTTTCTCACTTTTGAGCTTTCGATAGTTAAAGAATCCGATCGCAGTTTACCCTCAAATCTTTTTCTACAGCTTGAGTTGAATACTTGGAAATTGTTACTTTTCCTTTCCCAAACCCGATTAATGGATGAAAACGAAAATATTGATGTTCAAAAAATTCTTGAAAGTAATTATAGCCACAAAGTAATAAGCAACGCGCTTAATAGCTCAAAGCAAGAACTGAAAGAAGTTGGAACTCTGATTCACTGGCTAGAATCGATCTATGCGAAGCCATCAATTGCGCCTCCAGTCGGATTCACTTACCTGGAAGATACTATTCATGAGTTGGCCGCTAAATCGAAAAAGGGAGAATCACAATACCACGTAGATATTGAGTTTGACCCGAATCTGAAAGTAGGTGCAGGTGATAGAAGCAACGTTGACGCTTTTATGCGCTTTGCTTTTTCGCTAATTCGTAGCGGTAAATTTTCCGATATGGAGCAGTTTGCCATCAAAATGGGGTTCACGTGGCTTCTACCTGTACTAGAGGGTAGTAAATTATTTGATGACCCTAATTACAAAAGATTTGCGACCAGCAACGAGGAGAAAAGTCCTTCAGGTAACAAAAATAGACATCTTTGGAGGCAAGTTGTTACTGAAATAGTCAAAAATCCGTCCATCAATAGCTTCGAAAAAGCTATTTATGCTTATTGCAGTGGAAATATAGATGCCCTTTTAGTAGTTGCTAAAACTTGGGAAGATAAGCTTTGGAGTTACTTAGTTTGTCTCAAATCAGCGGTCGAAAATTACAACATTTCTCTCTACGCTGCTGAAAATCAAGATACAATGCTTGAAGAGCCCGAAATTGATTTCCGGGATATTTTCATGAAAGTTGATGCTGTCGAGGAAACACGGGAAAAACATGAATTGAGGTCATTTTTCCGTGGTTTGCAAGCTTGTGTAATCTTAAATAGTTTGGATACTTCTCTTGTTGCAAAACTAGAGAATCTAGAATGCTCTGAAGAATCTATGTCTCTTCTTTGGAATCGGTTTAGTGCTACCTTCTGCATTGTGGTATCGCAGTTGTTCAGCACTTCACTTGAAGATACAATTGATCGGTTTGTGACTAATTTAGGCGCCTTTTTAGTGACGTCATCTCAGTTCATGACAATTATGCCATTTTTGAAATATACAGCCGACCCTGAAAGTGTATGTCTTAAGTTGCTCGTAAATTCGAAACTAGCAACTCATAATAGTTTTCTTAATGAGCTTGAAAAAGATGGTTTCGATACTTGTGCGATACGAAAGCAATTAATAGAGCACTATCAAGGCAATTATCATCCTCAAGAAAACGAAGTTGAAGAAATAAATAACGAAGAGGTATTACTCATTGATTCGACGCTGAAACTTCGAAAGGGTTCCGAAAACCCGATTGAATTTTTATGCGCCGTGAACTCTCTTGGTAGAAAATTTCTTGGAATGAAAAGATACCAAGCGGCCCATAAATTGCTGTCGGAAGTTCCGAGATCGATAATAGAAGAAACTCTTGCATTTTACAAAAATGTCTCTATGTCTGTCCAATCAGTGGTTGAACTGCCCAATCGGGAGTCAAATATTCTGCACGAGTTTCTCGACTTAAGAAATGTTGCGCTTATGATCCTCGATTTGGATCAAATTAGAAACGCTTTCAATCGCAGTACCCTTGAAAACGGAGAAATTAGTTTAAATATAGACCACGAAACAACAAGAGATCTTATTGCGGTTATTGAAAAAGTTTACCAGACTTTGAGTTTGGAGAAAGGATGGCTTTTGGATGAATTTGACTTAGAACGGACTAACGACTCATACTTTACGGACATGCGAACAAGACAAATTCAACTCGTTCGTTCAATTGCAATTCCGGATATAGTTATAAAGTCGCTAAAATTGTTGAAAGATCACAATCTGTTCAGCATTGTGCAAAGTTTGATGGTTTGCTTGATGAGCGAAGAGAATAAATTGATCGAACTTTTCAGCCCTGAAACTCTGGAAATTGTGAACGAAGTTGTGCTTGATGTCGATATAATAGAAGATGTTTTGATCAGTCATTAATATATGCGTGTATTAATTAAAGTAACTTGTTGTTTTGGATTTGTTGAGTTGATTATCTGCCAATTTATCAATTGAGTGTTCAAAAATTTCTTTTTGAATTAGGCATTCACAAATTTAAATATAAAACTACAAAAGATTTTTTTTAGTGTTAAGTTTTCAAAGCCGTGGATGCAGTTTGCATCTTCGACTTTGGTAAGATTGAATTCGAAATCTTCTAAATGGGTATTGCAATCAGGTACTAGACTTTTTTCCCATAATTAACTTGGTACAGAATGGTCAAAATTAGAAATCGTAAATTTAGGTTCAGTTTTTAGTTCATTCTAATTTTTTGTGTCTCCGGCACAATTGGTCTGAAGGTAACGAATACGCCTGGGATGGCAAAGGTGCTGGCTTCGAATTTGACAGAACCTTTTTTTTCAGATGGGAATTTTTCCGTTTACAAAAAAATTGTCTGATCATTATTTCTCTGCTTATGTTTTGTCGTTTTAGTTGTCATGTTGTAGAATTGTTTTTTTTTTTAGCTTTTTGTTTATTTTAGTTTCTTTAAGTGTTCTGATTTACATCCGATGCTTGTAATTTTAGTAAACTTCATTCTGCTCAAATGATTTCGGCCGTTTTATATTGGCTTAATGACCTAATATCGATTCGTTTCAAGGAAAACACAGTTTTTATGCTCACCTCTGGATCGCACAAGATGCTAAAAATCTTAATAGAAATTTTAGTCCAAATTTTTCGTGACAACATTTTTTCGGCTTTTTTTCCTTTTTCGACTTTATCGGTTTAATGGCCATATTAGGCCTTTCGACGAGCGAAAAAAATTTATGCGCGTGTCTGTGTTTTGAAGGCGAGGGTGACTTATTAACTTCAGTCTTGTTGATTTTTTTTTGGCATATAGTGTTTCCTCGAAGGTATTTTTTGTCTTTGTTACCGTTTGTTATTTTTTCGTCTGATGCTTATTTCACATTCCATTGTCTTGGCATGTTTTTTTTTAAATTTGAAAACTAACCTTATTTTTTTTGATAGATCTAGTTTTTTTTCTATTTCTTAGATTGTTTTTTTTCCATTCTTACTTAGCGGCTTTCTTGTTTTATAACGGAAGTGGTGCGAAGCTCAGGTTCGCCTATAAGTAAAACATTGAATTTTTCTTGTGAGCCATTTTTACTCAATGAGTTGAATTGTTACCGGTATGAAAGTGAGATCTACCGAGAGAGTTGAATTGTCCTTGGAAACAAATGTTTGATTTCGCAAACCAAGCAATCCATTGAAATTGACATTCAAATGTGAATGAAATGTTGTTCGGTTAAATAGCCTGAGTAGAAAGGTCGTTGTTGGCTTAACTTTATTAATAGTTTGATTGATATAAAAATGAGGCCTGTAATTTACTTCAAAAGAACCAATTTAATGATTTTCCATTTCACATTAACTTTTTTGATGCTTTTTTCTTACTCAACTCATGGAAAAGTATCGAATTCTGGTGATGGAAAAACGGAAAAACTAAGTTATAAACCAATATCGACAATTGTGAATGGATTGGATAGCAAACCTAGATTGTTCTATGTGCGTGTGGCGACTGCGGTGGATTTGACTTGTGGCGGGGCAATAATCGACCCCCTGTGGGTCATAACTGCTGCCAGATGTGTATTTGAAGGCAACGGTAAGGACGGAACAAGGCTTCAGTTAGTAATAAAAATGGTTTCCAAGTGAGGTCATTACACGAGTTTGGAAACATTACGAGGCCAAACTGTGCACTGGATAGGCGCACAATTTTGTGTCTGCATGTTCCTGGATTCCATAGAAAAGTCTTTAAACATGTTAAAATTTTGTCGGAACGATCAAAGGAAAGTAAAAAAAAGAAGAACAAAGGGAGTGTCCTTGTTGCGGAATCCCCTTACACTTCACAAAATGCACAGTTAGGCCTCGTAATGAATAAGGAATTCTTTTACAGAATCATCACTTGGGAGAGCGCCATAAGAGTAGTACCTAGCCTGTTTTAGGCGTCTCAAATGAGTAGTAATTTAGGAGTTTGTCAAACAGATGCTTGGGATCGATCTGTAAAGATTTCGAGAATGCTATTAACTGTGGCGGACTTCTGCAGCTTTTGCGGTTGCATGTAACTAACTCGAATAACAGCATACACTAAACAATAAAGCTGATGCAGCTTTCGATTTGAATGACGATTTTTTTAGTTATCACTTTTAATCTTCAAATCTCGTGTCTGAGAACTGGAAAATGTCTAAATGATTTTTTTTTGCTTTTCTCAGAACATTTCCCCCTCAGAAATAGCATACCCAAGGTAGAGTAAGTTTTTGATTGAATTGAATACAAAGAATTATTTCTCGTGAACTTTGTTCAATGGATTATCTCTTGGAGAAATCGCACAGGAGGATTCTGTTGACATTTTACATCTTTTTTGAGCATGTTTGTATTTTAAATACCCGTTCTCATTGAAATTTGTATTTTATTTCGGTTGCACAAGTACTAACTACGTTTTGGTACAGCTCTTTAGTAAAATTTTTATTTCTTATGTAAAGGTTTATTCAGCTTAAATCGTATGTTATATTGGCCTAATAGTCTATTTTTATCTCATTTATTGAACAAAAAATTTGTTGGTGGAAGGCGGCGTGTAACCTTCATTTTTATGCTAGGGGGATCAATTTTTTTCATGCTAGGTTAAAAGGATATTTTTTTCGGCGCAATGGTCGTATAATTTAGCTTTGTTGGCTTACTTACCGAGTTGTTATTTTTGTTCAAATGCTATTCTAAGATCGGCAGTTGTCTTTCTCGAAAGTTTTTCAAATGAGTTTCATTAGCAAATGGTGCGAAGCTCGACTTCGTCTCTGTGTAATCATTCGACCACCGAAAGTGAAAGTCAGCAAAATGATACAAGCTGCAGATAAAACTTACTTTCGAAAAGTTTTTTCATTTCCTTTTAAACATTTTCGGTAACAAACAAGAGTTTTTTTTGACGAAGGGACTAGTCGCAGCATTTTCGGTCTTTTGCACAGTGATCTTCTTGCGTTTGCATATTTTTATAGCCTGCTCATTAGTTGGCGATAATATTGCGAAGGAACTGAATTTTTCGTACTAATCAACTACAATGAATGTAATGTCTAAACAGAACGACTTTAGATCTGAATACCGATAAAATTCGAAAAAAAAATCCTTTGGAGGGTTTTTTACAAACTACTTGAATCACTATTTATAGAGTTGGAAATTGAAACCTTTTTTGAGACGGCAGAATTGCTATTTTCATCCAACATTGATATCAAATTTTACTAGTCTTTTTTTCAGCTAAGTTGAGTGTGCTACGAAGCGTATATATTTTTTTCCAACCAAGATGCAGAATTTATTGCTCTTTTTGAAGCTTAATTGCATAGTGCTTAAGCTAAATTGCAGTAAGCTAAATTTCCTGATGTTTCTACATTATTCAATAAGAATTTCATTTGAGACCTTTTTAAGTAGTCCCAATGTTCTCATTGTTCCGACCATTTGAAAAAAGGCAGAGGAAATTTGTAGTCAAGTGTGTTTTAGTTTTTTTTGTTTTTCGCGCAAAGTCAGGTACCACAAATAATAATTGGATTGAGTTGAGTGATATATCATATTAAAAATCTTTTAGTCGTGATACGAACGACATTGAAAAATTTCGAAAAAATCGCAGTGTCAAGAAAAACGGGTTTGAAGTTCGTGGGTTTTCGTCTAATTTTGACAGAGTAAAGTGGCAGTAACTTAATAATTTGTTCATTCATTTAGGCTGAAAAAACAATTTTCTAAACGTAAACTATTTTTGAAAGCTATATATTGGGCACTTTCTTGGCAAAATTGGTATCGAGTTTTTGTAAAGGTTACCATCAAAAAGTTTTTTAAACATAGCAAAAGACTGCAATTTCAAAAGAAGGATAGACGATTGCTGTGCAAGTAGCACAGAATGTTCAGACCAGATTCATAACAACTGCAAATAAAAGTTCTTCAAATTACAAAGTTCTACTAATCAATGTCGTTTTTTGTATGAGGTGTGATGCGAAAACTTTACATACGCGTAAAAATAGTAAACTAGCTTCTTGCATAGATAGACTCTCGGCCCTTCTTTATAGAGCGGGAGACAGGTAACTGCTGAGATGAAGGACCCAGTTTTTTTTATACAAGAATGATGAGAATTTTTTCACAATGGGGACAATTGCTGACCGGCTTGCTTTAACAAGTCGATTAGTTTCTTATTTTTCTGTTTTGCTTAGCTTCATTAAAATTGTTAATTTAAAATTCTGTAGCCCGGATATTTTTTGCCTACAAAAATACGTTTTTTCAAAAGATAAAAATACAAAAAACACGCTTTTTTGAGGATACAAGGCCACTAGGATTTAGATATTTAATTGCCAGTTTAGTTTTGTTAGAAAAAAAAATTAAACTCATCTACAAAAGCTGCATGATAAGTAACCGTTTCTCTATTTGATATTTGATGGAAATGATTTTACCTCGATGTCTGCCAGCAATATCTTTAAAGTGTTTGCTAATCTTTCATACCTTTATTGATTTATCAATATTTTTTTACAGAATTTTTTTAACGAAGTTGCTTCTTTTTTAGAAGTCTCAATCGATTTTTATGCGGTTTTTTTATCAAAATTTTTGAATCAGGCGCTGATTGTCTTATGTTATGTGAAACCTGATGGATTTCTCAAACATATTTTTTTGATATGTTATTTGTTCCAAAAGAGCGTAAGTATTATGTGGAATCTCTATGATCCCCTCAGATACTCATGTGTGATACCTGAATTTGTGAGGGAAAACACGCCCGAATACAAAGTATCTCCCCACCTTGGTTGGTCGAACAAAAATGATCTCATTTTGCATGAAACGATTTTTTTAATAATAAATAATGCTTTTTTTCATTTGAAATCTACCAGCTTGAGGCGCTTAAAGTAGACAATCATCATACTTGCTTGATACATATATGACAGTTAAAGTTGATGCCAAAGTGATCTTAATACTTGCAGTATGGTTTCCAGCTATTGAATCTGAACGAAAATTAAATGGAAAAAAAATGCTGGTAAGACAATCCAGGTCAATAAAAAATTTATCTGATCCATCAATCTAACTTAAAAAAAGCAAAATAACGGTCAAGTTAAAAAAGTTTCTACTTATTCAGTATAATGAACTGTAATTAAGTTTGCAAAAATAAATTGAGATCATGTTGTTTTTTAGCTTCCAGGGTGCTGATTGAGTCTGGTGAATTCACTCCTCCGAAACAAAGTAACAAATTCTTCGTTGGAGTAGAGCAAATAATATTTGCACCCAAGTTAGTTAAAAGTGGTTTGAATCTTTTATGATGGTCACATTATAATTTTTCAATCTATTCGTTAAGCAGGTATTGTCTTACCTTGACTACTGTTTAGTTGAAGTGTGTTCTTTACTTTTTATTCTAAGTTTAGACTGGGTAGTTCGAAAGAGCATTTTATTATGGTGCAGTCATACATTGACAAATCTGGCATGAGAGGGAATCCCCCCATTATCGCAAATCACACGATTGACCCCTCAACTCCATGAGAAAAACGGATGGAAATGTTTCAACTAGCACTGAAAACTAGAGAAAACATCAAAAAAGAAAACCTTTTTGATTTCGTTGAAATTGTTGAAATCTGAATTTCTAACAGATAGAAGAGGAACAACACAATAAATCAACTACAGCAAGAACTGAACGTCTAGCTAGAAATCTAGAACAGAAATAAAAGTTCGTTGAAAAAAACGCCAAGCAAAAAAGAACTTTTTTCTTCAGACAAATTTCGACTTTTAAACTAGCCGTTTTTGACGCAATTTTTTTATATCATTCGAAAGCTTTTGTTGTCCTGAGCTTGAATTTGAAAAGATATTTCACCTGTGATCATTTTTCGTAAAGTTATGGGGGTTTAAAGATTGCCATTTTGGCCAATTTGGGACAATTAACGCGCGATAAATTTCGCGCTGTTAACGCGTAAGCGAGATTTAATCCGTCTTAGAAATCGTTCCAAATTGGTTCAAGGAAACTTATTTGCCATAAGTGATTTGTTAATAGGCGCACAATCTAATAGGCGCACGCTCTGTTAATAGGCGCACGCTTTGTTAATAGGTGTACTTATTATGACGTGTGGGGGGATGTTTTTACATAAAATCTCAAATTTTTTCAATTTTTTTTTATTATTTTGAAATTTTTCATCTTTTTAATGCTCCATAGACCTTAAAAGGCAGTCGGAACATTCAGGGCTTCGCCCTGATACGAGCAGTCTTGTTTGTTTATGACATTGGTTTATTCGAGGAAGAGACAGATTCAATTTTCCAACAAAACGAAGCACAAATTGAATCACTTTTAGAAACTCATTTAATTAAAGAGCAGAAGTGTACCATTCTATCTTGTAACCCCATTAATATAAAATTTGGATGATAAAAATCTAGCGAACACCACAAAAACTAGAAAGTCGAAGGTAGGTTTATAAAATCAGTTTTTACTACTTGCAAGAAAGGCACGTAAATCAAACTCGAGTGAGACTCGGAAAAAAACAATAAACGGATATTTAAGAATAAGCACTAGATGCCAAACATACACGAACTGGTAAATCACGTCAGATCTATTTTGTTCAATAACTCCAAAGAGGAAGTATGTTTTACTAATTCAGAATATTTTTGAACTCCCCATAAAAAGATTTTTACTGTAAAAAGGCCAAGATATATAAATTCTTTAAAAAAAAATTAAGGGTTAAGTTTTGAAAATTCTGAAACACGTGGGATCCCATCCGAAGATAAAATCACTGCAATTAACTCTACAATGATTCCTCGGAATTCAAAAATTTTTTCATAGTTTGGGTCGAATTTTCAATTCATGAAATTTGTTTCAAAATTAGCATCCTAAATGAGTCCCTTGCAATCTTTTTTGAAAAAGAAATCAACATTTAAATGCTAAAATTAACACACCATTGTTTTGAAAAACTCAAATCAAAAATTCTCAACCTGACGTAACGACAAACTTCGATGTAAAACGTAATATCAGAGTTAAAACCGATGCTTTCCACAACAGACTGGACATTTCCTTCCACAAGATTGATTGAAGAACAACTTGTGTAGGAAAAATCTGGTCGGTCAAAAGAACAATATCATTTTACACAACGCAAACCATTTTTGTTGAAAGAAAGAGCTTTCAAATGGGCTGAAATTTGAAATTTGAATTACTTTACCAGCTACATATACAACGCCAAAAGCAATATATTATGCCTGGAGGGAGATCCTAAAGAGCAGTGCTGCTCATCGAGTAGGATATCCTGGAGAGTGAAGAGAAGACAGCCAGCATCAACTCAACAAACAAATTAAATTAAGGGCTGAAATTGAAAAATAGTTTGTAGAGGTCCTGATTGTCTTTTAGGTAAGTTTGAAAAAATTGTTTGTAGAGTCTCAAACAACTAACTTCTGACATTTCATGTATATTAACAGATATCAAGTCATTTTGTTTTAAATTGTTAAAAGCCTGCACAATTCTAACTGTACGCGATCTCTGTTTAGCGGTAGTAGAAAATTTTGCCACTTTAATTAAGCCTTTCGCTTTGCTCCTGGTACATGGTCCACTTTTTTGGGAGTAAATCTGAGACAGAAAACCATTTTTTCTGTCCGATCGCAATTCCATAAGCAAGTACTTAAACATCTCAAAAAAGTATAAATCAAAAACAGTAAGCAACTTGTATTCGTCCATATTTTCTTTAATTGATTCATATCTACCTTTAAAAAAAATTGCTCTCAAGTTTTTTTTTGTAGTTTCATTATCTCGGTAAGGTGAGATTGGGATGTACTGCCGTATATTAAAATTCCATAAGTGATTGTAGGATTTACATATGCTTTGTAGAAGCGAAGCATCTGCTGTTTAGAAAAAAACATACCTAGCTTTCCAGACAATGCCACAAAATTTAGTTAACTTTTTGCACACATGTTCAATGTGAAATTTGAAAGTAAGTTTCTTATCAACAAAAATGCCTAAATATTTACACACATTTGTAATTTGAACTGTAGTACCAAAAGCAAAGTAATCTTTTGAAAAGTTAATACCAAATTTTATTATTTGAGTTTTACCAGGAATGACACAAAGTCCATTCGTTCTGAACCATCTATCCACTTTATTTAACGAACTATCAAAGCTATCGCAACAGTTTTTTTCTGCATTGCATATTGTAGTATCATCAGCAAACAGAACAACCTCAGATCCTTCAGCAATTTTCGGAAGATCATTTATATATATTAAAAACAAAAACGGACCTAAAACTGACCCTTGCGGTACTCCACACGACATAGAGCGACTAGAAAATATTTTATTATCAGTTTGAACAAATTGAAACCGGTGTGTAAAGTAATTTTTCAGAAGACAAAAAATCCGGCCTCTAAAGCCGTATTTTTCCAATTTTGCCAAAAGAAGATCATGATTTATGGTATCAAATGCTTTTTTGAGATCAACAAGACATGATTGACCAAACAATTTTTTGTCCCATCCCTCTCTAATAAATTCGGTGAATTCGATTAATGCGTCCACGCATGACTTTTTCTTTTGAAATCCAAATTGCTTTTCATAAAGAATCTTCTGCTTGTTAGCAAAAATATACATTCTTCTGAATATTATCCTTTCGAAAATTTTGCTGAGTGAACTGAGTAAACTAATAGGTCTATAATTTTCCAAAGATTCTTTTAAACCTCCCTTAAAAAAAGGAATAACTTTTGCAACTTTTAAACCTTGAGGAAAATAACTACTCTCAACACATTGGTTGAAAAGGCTGCAAAGTCTTACAGAAATTACAGGGAGCGATAATTTTATAACTTTGTTATTTATGCCATCATGACCATTTGAACCTTTATTTTTTAACATATATATGGCATTTTCAATTTCCTTGTGGGTAATTTCATAAAACACCATTGATTTTTCGATGCGATCTACATAACCCAACGCTTGTTTGTAATCAAATTCAGGATTTCTCAGTTTCTCGCCAATTGAGGCAAAAAATTCATTAAAAACATCAGCAGCAAAAAAACTCGTGTTTTTGGAGTTTTCTTTGCAAATTTCATTAAAGGCCTGGAACAGCGTTTTCGAATTTCTACCAATTCCAACTTTTTTGTCGTAATAAACTCTTTTTTCATTTCTTATTACCTTGGTTGCTAAGTTTCTAGCTTGAGAATATTTCAATTTATTCAATTCAGTGGGATTTTTTACCCACTTATTGAAAAGCCGATCGCGGTTTTTGAGGATCTTTTTGGTTGAGTCGGTAACCCATGACTGTTTTTGTGATTTCGATTTTTCTAAGGGAGCAAAACGATCAACTGATGAAACTATCGATTCAACTAAGAGACATAATTTTTCATTGGGATCACTAAGCTTATAAAATTCGACAATTTATTTTCTAAGAGGAACAAATATTTATAGATATTATCGTCACGGTAAAGATTTTCAAGATTTCTATAGCAGTAATCTTGCTTTTCTTGCGGATCAACATTCACGTAACCAGATATAATTACGGGAAAATGATCCGAAATGGTTGAATCCAGTGTTTTTACATGGCGTCGAAATTAGCAATTAAATGATCAATACATTTACTCGATGTTGGAGTAATGCGGGTTGGATCTCTATTGAAAATTTCAGCACCATAGCTTTTAATTAGATTAATATAAGATTTGGAAATTGGCTTGCAATCTAAAGTGTCGATATTAAAATCTCCACAAACAAGAAAATTAGTTTTCAAAGTATTTAAGTACAGAAGGTAATTCTCAAAGTGATTCAAAAAAACCTCATTTTTGCTCTGTGGGGGTTTATAGACAACGGAAACATTTGTCTTGACTGATTTATAAACGATGGATTTGTTGATGCATTCGAAATTAACCTCTACATTGTTTAACTGAAAATTCACATCGTCGCGCACATAAAACGCAAACCCCATACCTCGTTGATATTTCCGATGTTTAGAAATTAAGGGATGGTAGCCATCAAGATGATAGAGATTCAGACAATCATTATCACAGAGCCAGGTTTCGCATAGCGCAATAATCAAAGGTTTTTGTTCTAACTGATTAATATCTACAACGAGTTGGTCATGATGGCATCTGAGGGACCTTATATTTAAAAAATACAAAAAACTGTCTTTTAAGTCGCCCATTTGACGTTCTTCTACATTTCTCTCCATTACAAAAAAAATAGGACTTCAATCAAGTAGGTTGAATTTATTTGTTAGCTTCTTCTGTTACTGTTTTTTCTATATTGAGCGCTTCTGATTCATTTTAAATATTTAATTTCTTCGAGGCCTGATTATCAAGATTCAATGTTTCTGGCGATAAATTCCTCTCTGACCATCTCCTCGAAATACCAGGAGTTGAATTGGTATTTAGTTGAGCACCAGTATGGCGCCCGGTAATGAAGGATTTTTTGAACTGCTGGAGGATAGTTGTGAGGTCTTGGCCGGCTTTGATTGATCTGTTTTTTGGCTGCAATTTTAGCTAGTTGTTCCACGCCAGCAAGACTATTTACACTTTGGGAATAAAATGAGCCATTTGGTCGTTGGCAAAAAACTTTCACTTGGCAGTTATGTGTCGTTGTAATAAGATTCATGTTATCGCATTTCCTTTTAATTTCCATATCTGATTTCGGCAACCGTTCATTTATGAATAAACTTTTTCCCTGAACGCCCTTCTGCCCAGATAACATACGTCTCCTTCCGAAAATCTCATCTTTGTCCGAAAAATAGACAAATTTCAAAATGATTGGAACATTCTTACCAGAATCCTTGCGCGTCGGAAGAGGATGACATGCCTTGATAGCTCCCGGTGATAATACATAGCCACCAAAGTAATGGTAAACTAGGTTGCACATGTCAGAAATCAGGTTGGGGGAGTATGGGTTGATATCAAAATTCGAAAAAATTAGGCAATCTTTGCTCGAATATCTTTCCTGAAAATTTACTCGCTTTTCGAGATCAAAAACATTGTTTTTTAAGTCTATTATTTCCTGGGTCCTTTCATTTAATACATTTTCAAGAGAATCAACTCTTGCCAAAAGGCTATTGATAATAGGAATAATTAATTTAGGGTCAATAATGGAATCTGGGGGAAGATTTTTCAATAAATCAACGTAATTTATTGGATTTTTTTCGGCCATTTTGATGGTGAAGGTCAAATATTTCAAGCAATAAATCCGAATCAAAAAGCGCAACAATAAGAGCAACTAATCTCTAGAATTCATTTCGTCTCTGACGACGACAAAACCAAAGATAGACAACTTGATAGTCCGCCGGAGAAAAGAAACAGACAACCAGATACCTCTAACTAGCCATGCCAAGAAATTATTCTAAATTTATAAAAACATTAATCGAAAGAACGGGGAACCGACTTTCATACGTGAAAATTATACACTCCTTGGATTCTGCAATTAAAATAGCCACCGCTAAAACATTCCGGGAAATTGGATGTAGCGACCCGGGTCGAGATCCGCTACTTAAGAAAAGACTTTGTAAGTCGCGACGCATACCGTTTTTAGACTGGATTTCGCAGTTGCGCCGTGTGCTTAAGTCGCACCGTCAGTTTTTTCTTAAGTCGCGCCGCATAAGTCTTTTCTTAAGTCGCGCCGCTTAAGTCTTTTCTTAAGTCGCTCCGCTCAAGTATTTTCTTAAGTCGCGCCGCTTAAGTATTTTCTTAAGTCGCGCCGCTTAAGTCTTTTCTTAAGTCGCTCCGCTCAAGTATTTTTTTAAGTCGCGCCGCTTAAGTATTTTCTTAAGTCGCGCCGCTTAAGTATTTTCTTAAGTCGCACCGTCAGTTTTTTCTTAAGTCGCGCCGCATAAGTCTTTTCTTAAGTCGCGCCGCTTAAGTCTTTTCTTAAGTCGCTCCGCTCAAGTATTTTCTTAAGTCGCGCCGCTTAAGTATTTTCTTAAGTCGCGCCGCTTAAGTATTTTCTTAAGTTGCACCGTCAGTTTTTTCTTAAGTCGCGCCGCATAAGTCTTTTCTTAAGTCGCGCCGCTTAAGTCTTTTCTTAAGTCGCTCCGCTCAAGTATTTTCTTAAGTCGCGCCGCTTAAGTCTTTTCTTAAGTCTTAAGTTTTTGAAGGAAGCATTATCGCCCCGATTCAAGTAGGAACGATGAAATCGAAGGAAAGAAGACTGGCGCCAAGAACACTGCAAGAAGTAGCCATTACTCCGTCGGACAATCTAAAAAGGACTGGAGATTTCAGATTTTATCTGAAGACCGCCAAACCAAAGGGACAAAGACATCGTCACGGAACATCCGACGGAAACGATACCGGAAACTCGGACTTTCACGGAACAGGAAGCTCAAGAAATAGTGAATTCTCCGCCACTGACTGGGCTGAGAGTTGTTGTAATTCCTCCAAACTGTTATTTAACACGATATTACTTTGCATATAAGGATTGGGGGTGATTATGCTCAACGAAGGAGCTAAACTTAGTAATCAGCTCCGTTTGTTTTGATCATTGATTTCGATATAACATTTTTTTTCAACAATTGGTCTAATAATCAATTGGTTGGAAAAAATGGTTTATTAAATTGATAAAACCAGTGGTGTGCGCAGAAATTTTCTGGGGGGAGGGGAGGTGGTTTTTGAAAAAAAAATTGAAAAATCTAGTCCTGTTTTTTAGGTTCACCAATTTGAAGCTATTTCAAGCTCTCAGAAAATATTTTGAAGAACCCTATTTTGTCAAAAGTTTCCCTGATCCCCTACCCCCCCCCCCCCCCCCCTACTTCTCGGTACGCTACTGGATTAAACCAATAACTTTGATTGATTTACTAATTTACCAAACACTTTCTCACATTTTCTCTTCAGCTTCGATCTTCTCTCGGATCAAGATGACGTAGCTCTTCTGAAACTGAGAAGCAGTCGAGTCCTTCACAAACTATCCCGTTCCATTCGACTGTGCAGAGCCGAGAAACCCGAAGATACTAAATTCGGTCGGGCGGGAATGCATATTCACTTTTTTGCAAACCAAATACGATTAAATATTAATCACTTCAAGTATTATACGGTCGGTGCAAGTCAATTTTTTTTTCATTTTTTTAAGGTCGAGATTCGGTTTTTTTGGTGTTTTTTTCAGCGCTTGATATTAGTCCAAACATACAATGCTGAAAATGTAACTGCACCAACAAAGTTTATTTGCAAAAACATACCTCCAATTTTGATATTTTTTATCAGAATGGAAGCTGTTTGGCTCATGAAAAATGATACCAGTGTTTTGGTCTAATTTAAACTAAATTTGTAACTGTTACTTGAAAAGTTTTGAAAAAGAAAAAAGTCCCGTGAAATAGTGTTTCTGAACGGTTGAGAGTCCTAGAAATGGGCCTCTGATACGACTTGGGCAAATTGCCTAGCAAAATTTACAAAAAAAACTTTCTTAGTGCTTTAGTCAAATACTTGTAGATAATTAATCAACTTGCAAAGATTGCAGTAAGTTTTTTTTTGGTGCGAAATAGTAAAAAAAAATTGTGGTAGTAATCTGACATCCCCGCACAATTTCGAGGTGCATGCGGCATGGGAGTAAGTCTGACTGGCGATACCCGTCATCTGCAGGAGATGGTGTTTTGGGACCCCCTAGTGAACGACGGCCAGAGTGAAACTTGTAACCCATACAACATCTGTGTAGACACCTTGGCTGGGTCTAGTATATGTGTCTATGATCAGGTGATTTTACCTACCCTGATTCAATCACCCTGCTAAATTCGAAAATTTGTTTGATGGACAAAAAGTCTATGCCAATAAGTTCATTTCATGCTTTAGCATAGATTAAAAAACCTAAACAACCAACATAAAAAATGTAGACAATTTTTTTTGGAAACATTGAACCCCAGGGTCAGATTTAGGAGAGGGCGAGTGCGCGCTCCCCTTCATAGATTTTACCCTCCGCCTTTGCTACATCTTTAAGCCCACCAACCGTTAAATATTTTTAAAGACGTTTTAAGGGGGCACGCATTAAATAAATGATTATTTTTTTGCAGTTTCTTTTCATAATTGGCCCAAAAAAATTGTCCCGGTTGAGTTTTAAAAAAGTAGCTTGGGCTGAGAAGTTTTTGACAAAATATGGTCATTATAGTGTTTTTGGAGAGCTCAGAAAGATCATTTAATAGACCTGAGAAAGATAGATTTGATTCAAATCTTGTCGGGAAATCCTTGATACGCTTCCGAAGCGAAAAACTTGTTGAATGTTTTTGAATTTGTGTCGTTTTTTGTCTTCGTTTTATTTAATGATTTTTTACCAGTCCCAGTGCGAAACTTAAATTGTTGAAAGAATTCCTTTTAATCGTTCTGGCTGGCGTTTGTTTTTCTCTAGCTTCCGCAGTTCCATTTGATATAATTAACGTCCTTAGCTATTTTTGCCATTAACAAAACGTTTTTGAGTTTCGTGTTTTGATATACACATATTATGACTAGCCGCTTTAAAATGACGGTGTTTTTCTAAACAGTTGAATTGGTCTTCGTTAAAACCGTTTTTAGCCATGATGTGTGTATTGAAGCACGGATCTCAAAAAAAAATCTCAATGTCAAAAACATTAAGATAATCATGACAAAATGAACTGTGGAAAGAAGCAACGCAAAAAAATTTCGTCAAAAGATCATTAGCGAAAAGAAAAATTACTTTTCTCGTAGCAAACTGCAGAAGCCTTCGGAAATGATCAGATGGAAACTTTTTCCACTGATTAAAACTTTGATTAATGAAATAACGATAAACGCTAAACAAAAACGCAGACAAAAAAACTACAATGCGGTTCTGTTCAAAAACAAGGGAAAGCAAACAATTAACAGAAATTTTTCATGACTCTCACTTACGCCATAAAAGTAAAATTAATAAAAAACATTGTTGTTTTTGAGACCCTTGACAACCGTTGAAAAAGAACAATTCTTTATAAGATTGAACAAAAAACTTTAATCAGGGCGGATATACCTCAATCAATTTTTTCTGCTATAAGTACCATACAATTTGCTGAACTGAATGATTTGACTGAAAATATTTTGGACATTATAAACTACGAAACAAAAATAGCAAAACTGATCCTTAAACAGAACAAGACTGCTCGTATCAGGGTGAAGCCTTGAATGTTCCGACTGCCATTTAAGGTTTATGGAGCAGTAATAACATTAAAAAATTAAATGAAATAAAACTAAATGAATTTTTTTTCTAAAATTTGAACTTTTTAAATGAAAATCATCCCCCCACACGCCATATAAAGTACAAAAGGATAGTTTTCGCTCTTTGTAACAAATGAATTTTGGCAAATAAGATACTTTCAATCAATTTGAAACGATATCTAAGACGGATTAACTCTCGGCTTACGCGTTAATAGTGTGAAATATATCGCGCGTTAATTGTCCCAAATTGGCCACAATGGCAATCTTTAAACCTCCGTAACCTTACGAAAAATGATCACAGTTGAAATATCTTTTTAAATTTGAGCTCAGGACAACAATACCTTTCGAAAAATATAAATAAGTTCCGTCAAAAATGGCTAGTTAAAAAGTCGAAATTTATCTGAAGAAAAAAAACCCACCCCGAGCACAAATATTCCGTTACTTTCGTATCGAAAGTCGGAACGATAAGGATAAAAGCTAAACAAAAACGCAGAAAAAAACTACAATGCGAATCTGTTCAAAAATAACTTCGCGAGGAAAAGCAAATATTTAACAAAAGTTTTTCATGACTCTCACTTACGCCATAAAAGTAAAAAATAATAAAGAACATTGTTGTTTTTGAGACCCTTGACAACCATTGAAAAGAACAATTCATTAGAAGTTCGAACAAAAAAAATGCTTTAAGCTGCCAATACTCAATCAATTTTTCTGCTATAAGTACCATACAGTTTGATGTACTGATTGATTTCAAACTAATTTGGAGGTTATAAACTTTACGAAATAAAATAGCAAAAATGATCCTAAACGAGAAAAACTAAATCATTCAAGACTATTTATCAATAAAATACCCGACAATCTATTAAAACAGTTTATCTACAACAGAACATAAAAACTTGTTGTAGGGCAAATTATACTGCATCCCACTAAGTTAGAACTCAGATCGAAACGAAGTACAGCTGGCTCTATTGCTTCTTCAGTTGGATCAACCCCGATTTGATTGGGATCACCAATCCATCGAAACTCATTGTTCAGTTTTTGATTTGAGAAAATTTTTTGATAATTTTGTTCACCAGCTTCTTCCGAACAAATGTTAAGATTACGGAAAAAGAAGACCAGCAAATGTTTTTATAGTCTGTGTGCATCAACCGAAACAAATCTCTGTAAAAGTGTTCAACAAGGCTCAATTCTGGGAACTCTAAACTTTTTGCTGTACAGTAGAAGATACATCAAAGTTGAATGAAAGTACAAATGTTTGTCCTTATACTGACGATACGGCGTCTTAAACTCATTCTCAAAAATCTATTCAAATTTTCAAATGTGGAAACTTGGGTTTGTATATCAATAAAAAGATTTGGGACCGATTTGGAGTTCAGGGACCAGTTTGATTTTTTACGAGGTTAAATAGACAACTTTGAAAGAAATCTTGTTGTTAAATATGATGACTCATCTCAGTATAAGGGCCGACATTCAAATTTAACTTAGAGAAAATTGATCATAAGATGACTAAACTTTTATTGTTCAAAACAAGTTTGAATCGGTACGATTTATGGCGGAAAACAACTATATAGAAGGCACAAGAACTTCTCTTTTTTTTTCTTCTAAGATCTGGAAATTTTTACCATTGACCCTCCTAATTTCTCCTATTTTTTCAAATTTATTTGCAATAATCTCGCCATGAAGTTAACATTTTTATACTTACATTTCTGCAGACTAAAATGTTAGGAAAAAATGATCTATTTAACTTAATTTCTAAATAATTTTCATAGTGGCAGTTTTTTTCCATATGTTCTTAATCTCATCGAACTTGACAAATATTTGGCGAAAACAACTTCTGTTACATCAATAGTTTCAAAATTGATAATAATTTGAAAAAAATACCGGTGCTTTACACTTCGTTTTTTAATCTCAATTGCTGTTTTTTTTTGCGCTCAGAGACGTCTGAAAAGAGACATAATTTGCCAAATGACGATTTCCCAGACTGGGTTTTTTCTAAAGATTCATTCAAAAAAATCAATTTCCTGAATGTTGACCAATACTTAGAAAGATTGGTTGGAAAAGCTGGCCTGGATATTTTAGCTTTTTGATATTTCAGCCAATTTTGAATCACTTTTGAACGTTGAGTACCAACCCCCCTATCTATTTACCAAGAAAACGTCCAATATTACGCGAAAAAAAAACGAACATATTGGGTTAATGGTGCTATAGTATTGTGTGCTCCAGGGCGACCCCCTCTACGCTTTCGATTGTGCCAACGAAGAACCTGAATGTCTTTTTGGTGTAGCTTCCTACTGGAACAGATCGCCCGAGGATCCCGATGAAATTTTTGGATGTGGGGGAGAAAGTGTCTTCACCCGGCTGAGTCACCTGACTTCGTGGATCGAAAGGACAATCAGACTCTACTGAGAAATACGCACGAAAGATTTAAAAAAAGATATATGATTAGGTGAATTGTACTAAGAAAAAAACATAATTACCAATTAATACAAATGATTTGAAGGACGAATAATTGTTATGGTAATTCAACTGAAGTTTATTCGAATTCCTTTTCAGTTGAACCCAATTCAGGTTCGCTGAAAAAAAATAACCGTTGCCCTGTTTTGCACTATTAAGTCTATTTATCCATCCATACTATATTTAATTGCTTATTGCATGTATGCATGGTCTGTTGCTTTTGTTTCAGACTTTTCTATCCAGACATACATTATCTTACTATGAAAAGTGTATGATTTCCATTTTATTTCTAAAATAGCGTTTTCTTCTACAAAGTCTTTTAAAACTAAATATGAGGACGCTCGTAGTTGATAAACAACGTTTAGTGGGGATCAAATTAGTTATAAAATTAAAAAAACTCCGAAACAATTCCAAAATTGGGAAAAAACTTATTTAATTCTTTTTTTTTTCAAGCCGCAAAATCATTTCTATGCTCATGCATTCATTTTTCGAAAAAAAAAGCAACTTAGCTTGCAAAATTGTAGTTGTTTGTCTATAACGTAATCAAGTCAGATCAGAATGTGTTTGAAGGGAAATCAGAATTCGTTTTTGTAGGGTGAGACAAAACTGAAGTATGCCGAAAACAGGCAGCGATTTGGAAACATTCAAATTTTTAAAAAGAATTTTTCGGCCGTTCACAAAAAATTTTCATTTTTCGATAAAATTATGTTTAGCGACCAAAAGTAAATTTAAATGGCGAATCTCCAAATGCAGTTTTTAATTAGGATGCTTACCACTTGACTTGCTGGGTTTCTCATACGAGATGTTGGTGGGTTATTATGCCTCAGGACTCAAAATAAAAACATAAAGCCAAACTCAAAATGTAAATTAATTTTACTGACGGACAAAATGCTACTCACGCACTCTCATAAAACAAAAAATGCGAGTCGTAGAGTTATCAGACAATTTTCTAGTTGCTTGAAATGCTTGTTTCCTCGGAGTGAAATTCTGTGCTTAGCATTTTTTGTCCCCCTTGTGTTCAAGCATTATGGACGATGGACGATGTCGCTATGTTTCAACTTAATCTTCAAATCAGTGCTTTTTAAGTCATCTACGACTATGCTTAAGTGATACATACAAAGTTTCATGGAATGAAACATAGATTTTGTGAGACTCATTTCTCTATATAAACGGATTTCAGCTAAAAAGTTCAGAATCCGGCGTCATAAATCTTTTTCGATTTATTATTACTTAGCCACCGCTGCTCATGGTTTTGAACTTATTTTGAAGTTTTGAAGTATAATTTTGATTCTTGTCCGCTCTATTATAGAGTAAACATTATTAGAAAATTTCTAAACTGCAGAAGCCAGCACGTTTATTTGTCTCAGTCAGTAAGAAGCTAACGTGATTGTGAAAAACGGAGGTGAGCTGTTTGAATCTCGTAGTAGGTTGGTTTTTTTTCGTTTTTGTTTTTCTTTTTGCTAAATTGTAGCTTTTTTTTTTATTAATTGCTCCTTTCTGATTCTGCTTACCTAGAGCAACTTCGGCTCTGTGCATAAAAATATCGGAATTAAATTTTTACAGAAAAAAAACAAATCCAAATTGTTTCCAAATCTATTGTTTCTTTCATTATAGGTACTTGATTTTAGACCATTGAGTAGAGCTGCAATTCAGATTACCTGAGAGGTTCTTAAATACTTTTTTGAAGCTTAAATTTGAATAAAATTTTTAAAAGAATTTGTACGAGGCAGTTTGCCTTGTGACATATATTTGTTTTTGTTGGTATAGACGCCTGTATATAGACACATGGGTAGAATTGCAAGTTCCCAAATAAAATTTTAAACTCCCAGCTATTTTTTTTTAGGAGAAGGATGTTTGAAAGTGATTTATAAATAGTTTTGTGTTCCATTCTAACTCAGTTTTTTTTTGTTTTCTATGCTAAGATATTTTCCTTGCTGAAGCTGGTACTAAAAATAATCATTGGAATGGGTCGAGTGATACATCATCGGAAAGCTCGTTCCATCGTAATTCTAACGACGATAAAATACCTTGAGAAATTTTTTTTTTCAGCTTTGAGAAAAACGGGTTTGAAACGTTTCCTTAAATATTTAATGAATTGGATTGCTTTTTATGTCATTATAAAGCTTTTTTAGTCCTTATAAGCACGTGATTGAAAAATTTGAAAAAGTTTTCTCTGCCTCGAAAAAACTCGTTTTGAGAAAACCACGCTGGTGAAAAAAAAAACTTTTTTCCAGGAAAACTACTTTTGGAAGCTTCATTTAGCGCTTTCTCGGCAATGATGAGTTTTTCTTAATATTAGTTTTCGCTTTACTTTTTCATAAGCAATTGTTGTGAATTATGCCTAAGTTTCTTGCCTAAGCGTTTGGTTACTTTTCTCATCTCAACATGCGAAAGAAGAAAAAGAAAGTTATTTAATTGAAAAACTTACGTTCAGCATTTTTTGCACGTTTGTAACTAGTTCGCAGACAACAAATACGGAAACATGTCAACGTATAACTTTAAAAATATATCAAGTTTTTTCAAAATTAAACAGTAAAAGATCATTCTTGCATTGTTCATTTAGCTCATAAAGTTTTGGAACATATGAAAAGTATTTTCTTATATCACCCAATACCATCTCATTGACTTTACTAGCACCGTTATAATTACCAGGTTGACCTTTACCCATCGAAAGCGCTAGTCATACAGTTTTAATCAGTCTGTCAATTAAAAATTCTAATCATACCTACATAATGTATGCCATCTCGCCAACTAATTTGATTGATTTGGTCTTTGTAATTTGAAAGCTATATTTTTATTTCGTTGCATACTTCTATTAATCTGTGAGGTTTCAAATCTTTTTTTTTCAATTTTTGGGTAAAACTCTACAGGAACACGAAACACTGGCAGCATATTTCGCTTCTTACCAGCCATTTTTTCCTATTTCCTTTTAAAAACCTCTTTAAAATAATTGCAGACTTTTTCCAAAATAACAGGGATGCTTCTAAGAGCGTGATTACTTTTTCTGAGAAAGACAACCGCGATTAAACTTCTAATGCAATACACGAATGCTAATCACTAGGTTATCCCGATATCAGCCCGTTTCTACCCGATAGACACAACATATAACATTTAATTATATCGTGATTCATAAAATTGTCATGTTAAATTAATCTTTTATATTGAAAACCATTCAAATATTCCGGTTTTGGTCCTCCCTATATTTGCCAGTTTTAGCCTAAATAAGAAGCCCATTCCAATTTTGTGTTGTTTCAATTTTTTCGACCAGGTTATTTAATGAGCTTGAGGACGAACAAAATATAGTCGAAATAAAACTAAAGCACAAAAAATAAAGATTTTCAGCAGTCAATCAATACCTGCCATAAATATATATCAATGGTATAGTGAAAAAAGCTGGGACATAGATCTTTATTAAATCTTTTTAATTGTACGACGAAATATGTGATAATGCGAAAGAGAACTGTATGGCTGGGAGTGTCAGTCAACCCGGGTAGAGTGTTTTTGTTTTGTGAGATATAACATAGACTGCATCATTACTTGAAATCACATGTTTCAAAAATTCTAATCACTACATCATCTCGCAAGGAGAAAATTTATGATAAGTTTCAATTCATAATAATTCAATAGAAAATCAATCGCGTTAGTACCAAAATATTCAATTGGCCTAAGACTTTTAAGCCGACTAGTTTAAGTTCTTGGTTTAAGGTCGCCAGTGAGCGCGCTATGCGCGCGTCGCCGTTTTGCGGTGATAACCGGCTCTAATTTTCGTATAGACTCCTACCCTCTGTTGCCAAGCTCGCAACACGTTGGCGCGACTGCGACGGTCACTATACTGCTGTTTAGTTTTCTTCTGTTTGAACAGTAGAAAATTAATGTAATAATTTGTTGGCTCACAGTTTGACCAATCAGAAATCGAGTTGAATAATTTTGGTAAAAATGGGACCGATTTTTCTTTTTGGTACAATTGAACGTTGGTACAAATGAGACTTCACCTTAGTAAACTTAAGATGTAGTAGAATCCGCAAATTGAAAGAGGAATACGCATAAATAAGCGGAGTCCATTGACATTTGCGGGTTCCGCTTACATTTGCGGAATCCGGAACATCTACCTATCATCGCTCTTTGAGGATTTTGCAACAATACTAATAAGCCAAAAAAATGAAATTACAAGTATTTTTACGAGGACTCCACAAAGATTTGTAAGTGGAATCCACTTACAATTTGGAACATGATAGAAGACTTGTCTATGGAATCCAGGAACATTCAGACACCAAATTGTGCGCCCATCTAGTGCTCAGTTTGGCCTCATAATGTAACAACAAACGTAAGCAGATATTTTAAAAAATCCTTGTGTTAATTTTGCTACAATGAAGTAAGTGCACGTAACGTAATGAATAACAAAAACCCGATAATAATTGTGCATAATTTGCAATAAAAAATCAGCAGTCGATTATGAAGCGAATTATTGCAAAGTATATAAACACAAATTGAGCCCAAATTTTCCACAACAAATAATTAACCACAGTTATTCTAAAGTACAAATCAATTACATACTGCAAAAGCTCACAAAAACGTTTAAAATTAATATATAAATCCAAAATATTACTGAATTTAGCTTCGAAAGGTCTCGTTGAAGTAATGTGATGGACTAAATTCAACGATTTCTGATTTACATTCTGCAGAAGCATGAGATCACCCGAAATCAACTTGAAATTTATAAAAACAAGAATAATAGTTTCAAATTGCATCTTTGAGTTTTGAATTGCATAAAGATTGCACCTTTTTTGACAACGTTGTTCGATATCAAAAATTATATTTAAGCGTCTGCAACCAAAATTTGACAAGGCTATGACTGAACAATTAGCTCGAGTAGCGAAACTTGGCAAAACATTAACAATACTCACACTTTTCTAGTTGTTTGCAGCATTTTCTGAGGAATTAATTGAATTGTGGAATTTTAAAAAAACTGCCGAAATGCCGTTTTGGTCTTTTTTGGAAAGATTTGACCAGAAAATCGATTTTTTTTTCGTTGAACCCACCCTAATTGACCTTGGAGCCTTTAGGAAAATTATGGAGCTGTCAGAAGTATGGGTCGGACAAAAACTGATACCATAAATAATTCCCGAAGAAATGACCCTTTGAGTTATGAGCTCCCCCCCTTCCGCCCAAAGATGCCTCTGTTTCCCCGCCCAAAGCATGTTTACCATTAGGTAGAAGAGGAGGGGGTATTTGAGTTTCATCTTGGTGCCTTTGAACTCGAAATTAGAGTTGAAATAATCGAACTAGCCTTATCAATCGCCCCAGAAAAAGACCAACCCGCATCCAGTTCCAAGCGTTAATAATCGATTATATTACGATTTTAGTACCAGTCTCACTAAAATTGCGAAACAATCGATTTTAATCAATTAATAATCAATTATAATCTCTCTTTTTAAAATCAAAATATAATTAATTATAATCCATTATAATCGATTATAATCGATTATTTATTCGTCTATTTTTCGACACAATTATAATCGATTATAATTGATTATAATCCATTTTTTTATTCAAATTTCTATTTCATTAGTTTTGCACAAAAATCCATTATAATCGATTATAATCGATTATAATCCCTTTTGTTTGTCCATTTTTGTCTTCAAAGTTGCAACTAAAATGTTTATATTTTATGCTTTTTGTGGACGTTGGTTCCAATGAAAAATGAGAAAAATATTTTTAAAGTTTTCCAATTAATTCAAATTTATAAGTTTTTTTTTCATTTCTTCCCCAATAGAGTTGTTTTGCGATGCATATTTTAAGCTTTTTTGAACACCAAAACATCAGCAAATTGATTTAGTTTCATGATTGATTCGGAAAATTTATTTTTCATCTACCGCGAGAACCTTTCCACTCATATGAAAGGATCTCTATGAAACTTTTGTTTCGTGGTAAAACTTTGTGTTCAGATGAACCAAAGTGTTCGAGAGATCTCTCTTTTAGAGATTTTCTTATTGACACAAAAATAATAACCCATAAGATATAATTCGAAAAAAGAAAAATTGTGGCATATTAAGAGATTATAATCGATTATAATCGATTATAATCGATTATAATTGATTTTAAGGGTTTTTAGTAAGAACTATAATCAATTATAATCAATTATAATCGATTATAAAAGATTATAATCTCTTGGAAAATATCACGATTATAATCAATTATAAATCCCTTAAGGACCTAATTTTGGTAATTATAATCGATTATAATTGTCAAAAAATCATCATAATAATCCGTTATAATCGATTATTTACGCCTAAACTTGGATGCGGGAAGAGAATAAAATTTGGCTATTTTTCCTTTCCTCCCACCTTTCGCGAGCATCAATTTTATGGTATAAATGAGTGGGTCTTCAAGGTGAAATATGAAGACTAAAAATGTTTGCCATGTACTAATAAGTCCGCATGTCAATTTTCATACCAATCGGACAATGTGAAAAAAAAATTAAAAAATCGCTGGTGGGATGGAAAGGGAAAAAAAGCCCTTGTGGTGGACTAAAATATTCGTCTAAGCTGTCAATTATCACTTTTAATTCATCCACCAAAAACTATCAAGTACATCACTTCTCAAGTTACCAAGTATACCACTTAAAAGTTTCTCAAAATTTTTCAAAACCACCATAAAATTTTTCCATCAAATCTATGAGCATCAAATATAGGGGGGGGGGGAATTGGGGATGAGGGGGGTGTCGCAAATACTTATCCTGACCTTGAACTTGACTTTGGCGCCGCACTTAAGCTGCTGAACTTCTTGTGACCCCGAGCATGCGTTTGACCTTTGACCGGAAGTAGCTGTTCATGATTAAGTACAGCAACGGGTTGATTGAGAAGTTCAAACAGAAGAACGTCTGCACCGCCACTTTCAGACTCTGATTCGAAGGAGAGGCAAATTTGTACAACTCGGGTCAGCAATTTCTCATATATTTTTAGATGAATTTAGGATCGCATTAACCATCCCCCTGTTGTAATGAGGTTCTTTACAATGTGCATAATTTACAAAATTCTCTAGAAGAGGGGGAGATTTAATAGTTAGTTCTTTTTATTCGTTACTAAACGCCATGGAGAGATTTGAAGATAGTTATTTATTTTAAAAAATCCTGTTAATTATATTTTTTGCCTGTTCATGTTTCAAATAAATCTCCGTTAACGAGTCACGAAAAAATAATTCATGATTTTTTATTTAACAAATTTGTGTTTGTCTTAAAATGTAAAACGGTTTTGCCACTTTAAAATTTCAATCAGTTAAAGTTACATGGATTTACCACGAGTATAATATCATTTGTATTAATTTAACCTGTCCAATATATTACATGAGTAATAACTGTTAATGAGACTGATCACCTTTCAGTAACGGCTCACGACAAAACGGAATCGAGTTTTTAAACCATATTATATATAGAACTGAAGAAAGCTCCGCCAAAAAAAAAATCAGCATGTATAGCAGTTGAAATAACCCCTATTAAACAACTTTTGATATAACAGGTTATAAAGGAACCTATTTGTACTACCCGAAAGATCATTTGCTCATTATTAGGGTACTCTATTATTGCAGAAAGAACGTTTTAGGTAGTATAAATAGGTTCCTTCAAAACATAAAAAATTAGTTTAAAAGTTTGTGATTTCTTTTCACAATAGGATATTGAAGTTGTGAAATTCAAATATTTTTAATGCTCATGCAACTCGATTCATTTGTGGTTTGTCGTATTGTTGCCTTGAAAAATGGTTTTTCTCGGAATTAAAAAAAAATCATAATAAAAGGAAACACTGCAACCAGAGCTTTTTTGGAATAAAATATTGTTGTAGCTTAATTGTTGAGCAGCGATGAGCAGCGTTCCAGAGAGCTTTCAGAAATCCAGTTATAAGAATAAGCAATTTTATGCCGAACAAAACCAATCAAAAATTAGGCTTAAATGAAAAGCAAAATTAATTTTCAAAAAACGGAAACGCATGGTGCTAGTTATCACGGTGTATGCTATGTTTTCTCAAAAAAGTCACTGGAATCTATAACGAGCAACGTTTTAGAGCAAATGGTTCATCTCATTCAAATAGAATTAAAACTAAAACTTATTGTGTTTTTGACCGCATACGCGCTGATAAAAAAAATGATCCAATCTTCTGGCCAAAAATTTTTGCCACCACGGCAAGAATGTATTAATTGGCTGAGTTTTGCTGTTTGTCAAAGTGTTGCCTTGAAAAATGGTTTTTCTCAAAATTTAATGGAAAAAAACATAATAAAAGGGAGGCGCACATAACCAGAGTGGAACCTGATCTAAACTATATTTTATGATTGGATAAATTAAATGTTTTACCAATGTAAAGTATTTAATATTAACCAATCATGATCCATCTAACTAACAACCCACTTATTTGTAAGTGCTGAAGTTACTTGTAATTTCAGCACCAGAGAGATTTGAATTTAACTTAGAAATTAGTTGGACTCTCCCGAGCACTTCAGCAGCCGCAATAAACCAGTATACCCTAGATCTATTGAGCCTAGCAGAGACTAGTTAAACAACCTGAGACTAGATAGTATAAGAGTAAGATTAGGATCGGTATTAGACTAAGAAGTTGCACGAATCTATCCGGCCGAAAATAAGATAGCGTGACGAGCAGACGGTGTACCCTATCCGAAATTACTCTATGAGTTACACTTCGGTCCTAACTCATCTGGTGCGACCATAAGTCTCGAACAAGACCTTACTAGATTAGAATTAACCAAAAATAGATTAGAAATTAGACAAAAACATTTACAAAATGTTATACGACAATAATTTAATTGAAATGTCTCTCCGACTCAATAGATCAGAGCCAATATTCCGAACCATAACAGAACTACCCGGAATTGGAAGAAGACCTCGAACCAAAGACGACATACGACAAAGTAGAAACTTGCCGTATAGTTATATGATAGTTCGGCAAAAGCCAGAACAAACTTTTATATTTCGAATACTACTTGCAATGAATTTAGATTTCCATTTGCAAACATAAAACCTTGAAGTTACTCTTCAAAATCATTTCAGGCGCTAAACAAAATTAATATTATACAATAACGATTGATAAAAAGATCTAAGATCGTTTTCCTAAAACTCTGCAGTATTATACAAAACATGTTTGAAAAATATTTATTGGAAAATAAAAATAAAAATTAGTAGCATGACAATAAATGGTTAGTAATCATAAATCATCCTGTTGTTCCAGCTTCATCACCTAAAACATAACAGCAATCATCAACTCACTAACATCATAAAACACTAAATCTTTCCTTTACACAAATTTAAAACTTTATTAAAACTTAAAGTCACTTAATTTAAAATCAGATCATCAAGGCTTATCCTTGGATCTTAAATCATTTTCTACTTAATTAAATTTCAAACTTGATCATCAAGGCTTATCCTTGGATCAAACAGAACAACTTTGTTCTCCCCCACCCACTTAATTAGTGTCTAACGACCTCAAACGTCGATTCACTACCCAACCCTTTCTAAAGACCCAAGACTAACAGAAATTTTTAAACAAAACTAATCATTCAAATTAGGATAAATAGTGAAGAACTTCGGTTATTCATCCTTCACTTGACCCCCCCTCTTACCAGACCCAGGATAAATCTTAGACTTAGTAAGTTTAAAATAGTATCTAACGAACTACTCGCGTTCTAATTATACCTGAACCTTGTGGATCGATTTACTATTCTCCAACCCTTGAACACAATCACTACCCCTAAGTAAGATTAAGTAAGTTAACACCTTAGCTTATACTAGTCACGAGAAAGTAAAAATCATTCTTCGGAATCGATATACTTTTCTCTCCAACCCTGAACAAATAGACCCAGGTTAAGCTAACCAAAAAATCGTAAGAACTAACAGTTTAGGAAAATAGAAATCATTTAACAACCCTTTGCATCCGTCATTCTAAACCTTATGTCATTTAAAAACCTAGGAAATAAACAAACAATCGTTTTACACAATTGTGAAATAGATAACAAAAAATACGACCTTGTAATCACACCTCATACACAAACAGTTGGATACATTCGAACAAAACGACAAACACTAAAGAGGAAAATAATAACTAAACAAAGACAAATAACACGAAAAAGATTTTCAAAAAATCGAAACGCATTTTCAGAATCAGAAACCAACAGTTTAGACGAACTTTACAAACTAAAAGAATCAATAGATAAAAATTACCCACTTCACGATCAATTATATTTTTCTGACTCAGAAACAACTTCAAATTCATCACAAAGAGGAAAAAGAAGAATAAAAAAACAGTACAAACACAAACCAGTACATCTATACAATTGGAATCAACCAATTCGACACATTAATAATTACATATTAACAGTCATCGAACGAAAAAATGAGCTCAACGCACACTCCAGGTGAAGAAACTCCAGATGATGATGAAATCTTTCCTTTTATAGTAGATGCAGATACCGATAGAGGACAACACATATTTTGTCAAAATTTACTCGTAAATTTATTTGAACCCGGAATTAGTCCATGTAAAACAGAATTCCCCGATGTAAAAATCAAAAGACAAATCATAGATCACTATCTAAAAGATATATGCAACATAACACAACAGTATGGAATCTACTCTATAGAATTCACTTCCCCAAACCATAATAATAGAACATATACTATTCAAACAGACGATCTTGATTTAGAATTTTCAAAAGTTTTTTCAGAATATATAAAAAGCATCCAATACCATAACTCACAAAGAGCAAACTCCATTTTCACCAATGAAGTTTTCGCAATAATATATAGTTATATTTCGATATTAGAAAATGAACTCCCATTAACAAATGTCTCACCGACAGAAACATCTAAACATTTAAGAGTACGACATGAAATCACACTACTCTCTAGTTATTTAAACATCATTAAAGAAAATTTCACGAAAGACGACGTTTCACAACATACCAAACACGATTTACAAAAAATTTTGGCATGGTTCATAATAGATTATTTCACACACAATATTGATTTAATTGCACAAGCAAGAAAAAATTTTAGACCCCAAAATTCGAACGATGATACCGCTATCACAGAACAATCAGATTATGTTTGGGACCCCGAATGGTCTCATCCCGCATTTATAAGCTTTCCACAATCAATCTCAAGTCAAGCAATAGGTACAATATCTTACATAAGAGACTATGTAAGAGTAATACCATTAACAATTGATGCAACACCATTAAACTATAATACATTTTTACCCGATACACAAAATAATAGTTTAAACTCTACAGTCATACACAACGAAAACCTCAATGGAACTAGGAATCTTACTCAACAAGATATCCAGACACCATCACACTTCATAAATGAAGAAATTGTACACACAACAACTACACAACAAAGTATTTCACCAATACGCCCAAATTTAACAACACCAAGAAATACAAATCCTTCACAAACACAGGTAACCTTACAATCAACCGTTAAACCTTCGGTTGCCCCTAAATATTCACATATGGATTACCAAACATACAGACCCATGACAATACCATCAAAAACACGCAAAACATTCACTAGAAACAACTTTGCAGACCATAATTATAATTATACACATCCGTCAAAAACAAATTATCAACTACAAAGGAATTTTAATCAATATACAAAACCTCGAAACTGGGATAACCCAACGGCCCAATATAATTCCAAAAATTTTCAACCAAATCCTCCACAGGATCGCAGTGAAAATTACCCATTTTTTCAACAAAATAAAAATAAAAAACAAACATCTTATCAAATGGATTATTTATCCTCAGATGATGATTTTTTACAACCAGATATATTTGCACAAAATACTCAAGAATATCGTAGACAAGGAATACAGAAAACACGTACAAATCATAGGA